AATCCCCCCCCCCCCCGAGCCTCTGTCCTTTTTTGAGCATTGGTGCTTCTGTACCTTTTTGTTGAGGAGAAATGTTTGTTTTGGAGTTGGAGATGCTGAATCCTTTGTACTACTCACAGGAGTAAATTGAGATGCAGAGAAATTTGGATTCTTTAACTTTGTTATGTCATTGCTGCCACAACCTTCCTGGGATGAAAGGAGAGGCTACTTGGAGTACAATTGATTATGCCGGTTTAACAAGGAAACGATCGCCCTAGAATTTCTCTAGCAGCTTTCTAGCGCCTTCCGGCACTTTCGCCCTGATGCTTTTTGGGCACAAAGGGAGTTGCAGTCGGATGCATCTGGAATCAGCCATGATTGCTCTCTTGTACAGAGCAAAAGGGCTTTAGCTGTACATGTATATCGTGTAATCTACAAATTACTAAGAATTTTAAGTCATAAATTGTTTTTTAAATCCTACTAGCTTTCCTGCCCCTGCCTGGTTTTTAAAAAGGGAGTTGCTGGGTCAGCCTTGTCTTCAGTTCCCAGAATGGCTCTAGGCCATGGAGCCCCTAGACCGCTGTTTCCCAACCTCAGCAACTTTAAGATGGGTGGACTCCAACTCCCAGAATTCCCCAGCCAGCATGCTGGGAGTCGAAGTCCACCCATCTTAAAGTTGCCGAGGTTGGGAAACACTGCCTTGGACAGTCAGCATGATGGTTACTGGCTCATGCTGTGTTTCAAAATCTTCATACTCTACGTATGACGCAAGCAAGATGGGGTAGATCAGGAGGACCTAAAAACTGACAGACGGTAACCTCCTCGGTTCTCATAAATGGGTGCAACAACTCTTGCCAGAAAAAAAGCTACTTGGTTCTCTTCCAGGATGGTAAAATTAACAAGTGTAGGATTGAAAACAAAGGGCTGCAATGCATGTTAACACCCCTCCCCCTTATAGGAGAACCACATCCTTATGCTATACACTGTGTGATTCAGTAGCCAGTTGCCAACTGTCAGCAGTGCAGCTTTGCCTTAAAAGAAGTGCGCGTGCATGATGCAGCTGATGCAGCAATTCCAATCCCGGCCTGCTCGTTCCCTCGTTTGTGTGCCAGCCAACCTGGTGTTTTGCTTCAATTCTGCTGGGGAATTTTCACTTGCTTTCACACTTCCCATTAATATACTTTGACCAGTAAAAGTCATTTTATTGAAAAGCAGCACTTTATTAGTGCACCAGTGATTTCTGATTGTTTTTACACTGGGTGCATGAACCAAAACGGTGGCAGCGTACCCAGCGAGGCCCTGTTTTTCACAGGATTTAAAAAGCCCTTTAAAAACTTGGCTTGGGGGTTCCAACCCACTTCCCATTGTGCAAACTACTACTATACATGTAAGGAGCCTAGTCCTCCCTGTTCCGACGCAAAAGCTTTTCACCCTTGTAAGTGGCCCAGCGTTGCTTCCACACTGGTAGACGCCACCTGCGTAGCAGCTAGTGAATCACGCGCACTGCCAGCTACAAACGAACAGGAGACATCATACTCCAAACGTTTTAATAAGCAATTTCATTTAAAAAACAAAGACACCCTCTTTCGTTTTAGACTCAATTCTGTAAGACAGAAGAAAAACCTAACTGAACAGTGATGAGCTGTACGCTTCCTAATGGCACTTCAATCTTTTAAAAACCAGGACTTGAAAGAAGTCCTACAATACTCTGATAAAAGAGGTCATTTGCTGTGTTTAGAAAAAGTGCTAGATTTGGGGGAGGAGTTCAGCATCAGGCCATAGCGGTTCCAGCGGGGGGGGGGAGGGACGGAAGGGGGGCAAACGTGGGGGACAATGGCCAACTAGTTCAGGTGGCCGGAAGCACTGGAAGGTATGGAGAAAGAGGCGTTCCAAAACAGCCCACTCAGCCTCTGTTCCCGCCCAGGTATGCACAAAAATCATTCCTCTGCAGAATGAAACTACCTGTGCAAGCCAGTGTTTTTCAACCTTGGCCACTTTTAGATTTGTTGGATTTTAATTTCACAAATATTTCCCCACAGCTTTTTTTTCCCCTT